ATTTAAAACAAAGGACCCATCTTTGTATTGGCAAAACATGATACTTATTTCTTAAGTTCATGAACTCTTTTGGCATGGCATCGTTAAACTTCTGTATTTCCTCAGCAGAGTTTAAATCCCCGTCAGGTTAATATTACGCCACAGACAGATGTCATCTCCACAGAGCTTGAATTTAGTTTACATCGTTGTAACAGTAATTCCTCTGTCAAAATCCACTTATTGATTCTTATCAAGGGAACAATAGGTCTCCAAAATCATTCAAATCATGATCAATTTACTAACTCTCCCTAACAGAGTATAGGTCTCCAAAATCATTCAAATCATGATCAATTTACTAACTCTCCCTAACAGAGTAGTAAATACTCAGGTTATCAACTCCTTTCAATGGGGTGATAAATTTCCACAATCTTGTTCAAATCACAAGTATCACAACTCATCACTTCGATAATAAATCTGTTAGCAAAGTTCTCCCCAGCGAGACACTAAAATATTCTTCTCGTCACGTTAACACTACACCTCTGATAAAAATCCACTTATCGACTCTCTTCAATAGAGCGATAAGTCCTCAAAATTGCTTCTATAGCAATATTCTTCTTGTCACGTTAACACTACACCTCTGACAAAAATCCACTTATCGACTCTCTTCAATAGAGCGATAAGTCCTCAAAATTGCTTCTATAGCAATATTCTTCTTGTCACGTTAACACTACACCTCTGACAAAAATCCACTTATCGACTCTCTTCAATAGAGCGATAAGTCCTCAAAATTGCTTCTATAGCAATATTCTTCTTGTCACGTTAACACTACACCTCTGACAAATATCCACTTATCGACTCTCTTCAATAGAGCGATAAGTCCTCAAAATTGCTTCTATAGCAATATTCTTCTCGTCACGTTAACACTACACCTCTGACAAAAATCCACTTATCGACTCTCTTCAATAGAGCGATAAGTCCTCAAAATTGCTTCTATAGCAATATTCTTCTTGTCACGTTAACACTACACCTCTGACAAAAATCCACTTATCGACTATTTCCAATAGATCGATAGATTTCCAAATCTCTGTTATGTTAACAAACCACCTCTAACAGTTTTGACCCGTTTGAACCAGTTAATTCTCCTACAAAAGGATAACGAGTGTTCATATACCCATCCCCAACAAGTTAAAATTTTTCTAGAATTATATTTGATGATTATAAAGGAAATTTTAAAAGTTATGCGCTTTCCATATAGTTTCATTGTTGCAAGTCAGTACACGACACATGCAATAAATAGAGATAAACCAGAATCACTCTTTTATTTTGTTCAGAAATATTAAGGAGTGATACAAAAACCCTGTTCTTATCAAGCAAAAAGAACAATACATGATTAAGCCTCTGGATCAGTAAAAGTGAAATACGCAAGTCGGGATTTAATAGCAGAGAGCCTTTCTTCGTGAGCGGCCTGCACCATCACCTCGGCTTTCTTCCTAAGGGCGCTTTCGTCCGGCTCAATTGCATTAACTTGCTTTTGGAGAAGTTCAAGGTCCTGCACCGACGAAGGTAAGCGGCATAAGTCTTCACGCTTTCCAGTGTGAGCTTTTTCAAGATCTCTTCCTCTCGCGCGAGCTCTGCCTCGTGTCGAGCCAACTCCACCTTGAGGCGATCAATTTCTGCATGAGACGTTTGTATGGCAGCACCAGAAGCGTCCACAGCATGTTGCTTCTGAATGCATTGCCCCTGTAAGGATGCAATTTCAAGCTCCCTTTCAGTGATGGCTTCTTGAAAAGTTTCGTATTGGCGGGCCGCTTTAGCTTGAAGATTATTAAAGACTAACGCAGCCTGGGCAGCAAGATCAGCTCGATGCAATTCTTCCAAAGCCCTCGGATCTTTTTCCAACCGAGAGATGCCTTCGGAGCAATGCTGGAACAATCGAGCGTCATCCACATATCGAATGCCGTTCAAAGAGTTCATGAGTATTGGTTTGAAAAAATCAAATGAAGCTCGTCCAGCACTGATCTCCTCAATCGCTATCTTCATCATATCTTCCAACGGTCGTATAAGAACTTTTAGAATGGAAGGGATGGCTACTAGACTTAGAGACTTCATCGGAGAAGTCGATGGGGAGCCTAAAATCATAGACCTTGGTGCAAGAACAGTGGGTGAAGATCGGGAAGAAGCCGGAGAAGCCATCGTGATGTCCAATTGTGAAGGACTAGAAGGGAGGACCATGAGTGTTCCTGTTTGGGTTGAGCCTAGCGCATTCTCTGTCCCCACAGATTTGAGGGGAATCGTTAGTGAAAGAGGTTCTTTTGGCAAAGAACTTGTCGTCACCGGCATCGATTCAGAGGGAGGAATATCTGCTGCTTGTGGGTTGAGAGACGATGACGCATCAGCAACCCCATGAGTTGGAGAGCCTACACAAAAGAGCAGTCAGTATAAAAGAAAGAAACACCAGAGAAATCAGAGTGTGTAATTTCTACCTGTGGGGTAAAAAGGAAGATAACCGGATGCCTTGTCAGAAGGAGGTGGTGGCGGATCAGCCCAGCCAGCGGAATCATCACCATCACTTTCATCCTCATCAACATCGTCATTGTGAGATGAGCTCCCATAGTCTAACGGTTCGTTATCGTCTGCAGCTGAAGGTCCCGGAGAACTCGCAGTCGTATCCACTTTAGTCATTCGGCCAGTCGTTGGACTAGGAATGATGGCCTCTGAGTGTGGCAGTAGTGCAGAGGAAGCGGTAGACTGACTCTCATTAACATTTGCAAGTTCATCTGTCACCAGGTCGCCTGTAGGCAGTTTAACCCCTTCAGATGGAGACGTTGCAGGCAGAGCCCCTGCAGATGAAGGAGTAACACCTGGAGCTAGCTCTGGAAAGGGTGAAATGTCAGGAGAGGCCTCCGTATCCCCAATCAGGGATTCATCTCCATCCTCTTCTGGGTCCAAAGGACATTGAGAAGAGAATTTTTCAGAAAATGTAGTACCCCCAGGATGAGGACCTGCAGCAGCGGGTTCTTGCTCTGCCTCTCCACCGGCAGATTTCAAAGCATCTGCCATCAACTTCTCAGCAGGAGGGTCTACTAGCAGCTTCCTGCGAGTACGTTTTTCATACTGAACTTCTTCTGCTGTGGTAAGAGCCCTCTTTCCAGCGGCCTTGATTTTTTGAGTATCAGCAGCCTTCGGGCTCATTATTGGAGCACTTTCCGGCCCCAGATCTCCTTCTCCTCCTCCTCCCCTTCAGTCTCATCTTCGAAAGATAAGAACTCATTGATTCCCTTCAGACGAGATACCCGGGCCCCTCTTCTGGACGAGTACATCTTCCTAATTTCTCGTAGCCCCGACAAATTCAACCTGTAATCAGGTATCTTGGAGGTTGTATGATACCAGTTACAAAAAGCTATAGACGAAAGAGAATTGGGCGTCTTGTGGGGCAACCTTAAGGTAGCTCCAGTGCAGCCTGCAGTAGAGTAGTACCAGGCCCTAGCTCCTTCGTATATGTTACCAATAATTGCAAGGTGACTCCGGGGATTCCCAACATATAATTGGTCGTACCCGAACTGGCGGGCAAACCGATACGGCTGATACGGCTCAATTATGCATTTGTCATTTTGCCTAAAGAGGAGATAAGCTGGTCTAATGTTCAAGAGCCAGTGGAAGACCCCTCCATCTAAGCGGGTAAAACCATCTGAACCAGCCGTATCTTGGAACACTTGGCCATAGTCACCGCCTTCAAAGTCTGGGAAACAGCGGAATAGTTGATAATTAGGGTCTCTCGACAAAATCTGACGGACCCTCACGACATACGTGCCTTCCCAGTAAGCTTCTTCCAATCGCTGCACGAAAGGAGTGAACCCCTCATCCGATGGAGATGGGGCACTCATCAAAAGAGGGCAATGGGATACATACCATGCCATCAAATAGGTATATGGCAGAGGAACTCTGGGATTTGGTGTCACCAGACTCTTCTTTCCTTCAGATTCTACCTCCTTCACCTGAATGAATTCGAGGCACAACTCCCTCAAGCCATGCTGCAAACAGCAAGTCATAGCTGAAAGCAAGTTCACAGGTCTCCCGTAAGCTAAGAGAACAGCCGGGTAGACTACCTCTATCATCACAGCATCTATGGGCCTCGTAGGGACGACACATCGCTTGAGCCACAACATGAGGAAGCCGGCCAACAAGGCCTTGTCAGAAATAGGCACAGCAGCCTGGTGATGGAAACTTTCGAACTCAGTCTGTGCAGGGAAATCCTCTTCCAATCCCTCGTTGACATAATGGGCAGTAGCGTCGTTAATCAGAGTTTGGATTGTCTCAGGGGCACTCGCGTTCCGACGAGACACATCAGCAGTTTTGTGAGATAAGTTTTGGAATAGATAATCAGCCCAGGATAGCTGCTTTATACCACGTCCTCGGGCCCCCGTTAATTGAGCACAGATTTGAAAATGACACATCACCTCCCATAGAGTGTCATAAACGTCGGGATGCTTATCCTTCAAAATCCTGAGCTCGTTTGATCCTGGGACGAATTCTTCATAAGGCAAATCTCCAAAAGGAAGACCCGAAACGTCATACATTTCGTGGAGGGCAAACCCCAATTCCCCCACTGGTGTGAAGAATGTACACGTCTCCGGGTTATAGTTCTCCAGAACGGCGTAAAAATTGTAATAGTTGTAGTCAATACCATGTCTGGTATCTATTACAGGACAAGCAAGCCCAGACTGAGCTAAAGCTCCCGCTAACTCTGTTATTACAAAGTCCGTCATTCGTGTCCACCATGCTGTAGAGTGTACCTATCCAGGATCCCTGAATACTGAGGAGGGGAACTCTCCTTTGGCGGCCAGAAATCTCCGCATAAAAGTATTGGCCGTACTAGCTGTTTCTCCTAAAGGATACCCCCGCGAGAACAAACAGGGCTCCAAAGCGGACACTTGTCGATTGTAACCTACAGTGTGTACGCCTGTGTAGGTCAAAGCCCCGATAGCTACTCCATCTTGCTCCCGGACAAGGTCCCAATCCATATGTCGAGGGACGGAAGCACACTGATAATAAGCGATAGGAAACATTCTATGCATATCAGGGAGAAAGAAACGGCGATCTCCTATTTGCCTCAACCACTTATAGTGGCTGCCAGTCACGATTTCTTTTTTGATGACGACATGATCGCCAAACAGGAATGCTGGTTTGGTAAGTTTTTTACGAGAGTCGGTTTCGAATTTGGCGTCCGTCACCAAAATCCTGAGTACAGCTGGGCTTGGATTGGAAATCAGGGTAATACGATCCTTGTCTGCGTCCTGAAAAATTGGAAGTTCCTAGCGCAGATTGAATTGCATATTAGAGTCGACACCACCTTCGCGCCCGAAATGGTGACAAAGAGTAAGAGGTTCGCGGGAGTAGGGCACTGCAAAAAGAGAAAAGTACTCAGTTAGTCAATGAGGAAATAAAAACTAGAGGGAACTCTAATCAAATCTCTAGAAAAAGAGAAAGCTTTCAAGCGCACAGTTCAAATATGGCGTTCAGAAGTTTATTAACGCAGAGGTCGAACTCTGTGTCAAGCTTCCAAACGCACAGTTCAGATCTGGCGTTAAACGTTTATCAACGCAGAGGTCGAACTCTGCGTTAAATGTCCAAACGCACAGTAACGACCTGGCGTTAAAGTTTATCAACGCAGAGGTCGAACTCTGCGTTAAATATCCAAACGCACAGTAACGACCTGGCGTTAAAGTTTGTCAACGCAGAGATCGAACTCTGTGTTAAATTTCCCAACGCACAGTTCAGATCTGGCGTTAAAAATTTGTTAACGCAAGGGTCAGGCCCCAACGTTTCAAATTCAAAACGCAAAGCCCCTACTCTGCGTTACAGAATCAAAACGAGTCGTCTTCCTCGTTCACAAAAACCCATCCAGGGTTTTCAAAGAAATCGCCGAAGCAAGTTTGGTGGCCGTGGAGTTCCGTACTTACCACCGACGAGGGAAGCCTCGGACGACGGTGTTGCGGCAGCGGTTGACCTGGGACGGGAAACGGTCTTCTTTTTTGGACCCATGGAAGATGAAGATCGGAGACGATGAACAGGGTTCGCCGGAGTAAACGAAGAGCCTTCGTTAAAAATCTTTCGAAAAAGAGGAGGCAAAAAGTCAGATGACTTTTGATTTGACCCTTAGCGGTCTATTTATAGACAGCTATGAGCTGTCAAATCGAGGCGAGATTCTAGGCCCAGAATCCCGCCGAACGTGGCCTGTGCATCAGCGTTGCTTGAACTTCCGAACGCAGAGTTCAACCCTGCGTTTTTATGTTTTAGCACAAAGAAATCTACCTGTGCGTCTGCATTATTCGAACTTCTGAACGCAGGATTCAACTCTGCGTTTCCATTCTATGATACAGGAAGTCTACCTGTGCGTTCTAACTCAACCAAATGAATTCCTCTATGTTTAAAGTCAAGACATGGTTCCAAATAAATAGAGGGAGTCTGTTGTCAACTGTCAAGGTGACTAAGGCCGAGAAGAAACAGACAACTCCACTGTGGAGCCTATGATCAGCAGCATTCCGACAAAGAGTGAGTTGAGCTCATCAAGAAAAGAAATAGAGTAAGAATCTTCTGAGGTTATCCTCCTAACCACAGTTAGGATAAAGCCCCTCCCATGTGGGCTTGCGATTCTCCCTGTCTATGACAATGGATCTGCCTTAAGCCCAGAATTATTCGATCTCACGAAAGACAACCTCGCTGACAAGTTTGCAGATGGTGTTTCTATGGTTGCTTCGCTATCCTTTACTCTCTCTTACCCAAATCTTGCAGCTGCGCTTCACATATTCATCATTGCCTACAAGAACGTCCTTGCTGTTGCCGTTATCTCTGTTGTATCTATTGAGAGCGCCACTGTTCTTGTCTCCAAGGAAGAAAGGAAAAAGGACGAGCCTGTCAGCGAGTCAGACGATGACTTGAGCTTTAGTTTGTTTGACTAAGTTCATTGTTATCAGGATTCAAAAGCTATCTTGTTTGGTTCGAGGAAGCAGGACTTTGACATTCTAGCAATCGGATTCGCAATATTCTCAAATCTGATGAAGTGAACAATCAACTAAATTTTTGGGATCCAAAGTATTCCGAAAATTCGTTCCGGTCAACCGCGAACTTTCGAACACTTTGGAGGGGTTCTGTAGGCTGTCTAAAAATCACGATGGATAGCTGATCCCTATCAAGCTCCGATAATGAAAGTCACAATCAGACGACTTTCTAATCACTGTATTCGCAATTCTACAATCGCTACAAACACGGCCTCATTTCTGAGATGATTGATCTTGATGGTTGCGACAACAATATGACTAATATTATATTAGCAACTATGAGAGATGCTGATGAGCAGTGTAATGATTTTAGAAATAAAAGGTTAGACTTAGCTGGTGAGTTGCTTGGTAGAGAGCTGTGGGCAAATATTCATCTAAAAACACTATGGATGTTGATTCCCGTCAAGTTCCAACAACGAAAACTACAATCAAATAGCTTTCGATCTAAAAACACTATGGATGTTGATTCCCGTCAAGTTCCAACAACGAAAACTACAATCAAATAGCTTTCGTGCTGACAAAAGAAGATTACAAATAGAGGACTTTTCACACAGATCGAGAAGAGTTACAATTCGACGATGCTTCCGACAGCTGATGAAAACTCTATTCAGTCGCCTTCACAATCAACAGTGAGAGTTGCAATCTGACGACTCTCATATCCTATAACAGGCAAAGATCAATAAGCGGTAGCCTTTGCAGTGTTATAATGGACGAGGTTACACATCAACAACCTCTCTCAAACGCAGAACTCACCTCTGCATTTCTCAAATTCAAAACACAGACGAGCTGTGCATTCTCCAACAGACGTCCAGATTTGCAACGCAGAGTTAAAACACAAAATGCACGAACTGTGCGTCATTCGGCAAACACTCAACACTGCATCCCAAATCCAGAACGCAGAGTTGAGAACTCAACACATGAGCGGCCTGTGTGTCTCAAATCCCTAACAGAGATTTAACTCTGCGTCCCAAGCCTTGGACGCAGAGTTAAGGCCCAGAACGCCAACTGGGGCGTTTTGACTTGTTCAAACACAGCCTGAACGGCCTCAAAACCGTTATCCCACGTTCTGAGGGATTTTCGCCCACTTAGGAGCGGATTTAGGGGTTGGTTACAACCCTAATCCTCCTATAAATAACCAACTTACTCAACTGAGTAAGGGGTTGACGTGTGCTGGCATCAAAACCGTATAAGGTTAACAAATCTCAGCAGCTTAACCGCACAGAGAAGGTGATTTTCCAAGAGATCAAAGAACTGATCAGCAATCAGTTAACCAAATCTTGAAGATTCCCTTCATCAACGGCGGATTTACTTGGCTATTAACCGAATCTTCGGTTCTAACAACTTTGTTATAGAATTTCAACTCACTCTGAGTTCTGAAATTCATTTAAGGGTTCGTAATTAAGCTTGCAATGCAAGTTAATTACATCAAACCAGTCAATCGTTCCAGTGAATCAATACGGTCGGATCATCAACGGAGAGCAAGTTCGACACAATCAATCGAAGGAGGCACTCCATCGCTACCAAGAAGAACCCAGTTTTAAACAAAGGGGAGAATCAAATTCATTCTCCTCTCTTTTGTAATCGGAATCCAAATTGTAATTGATTTTGAGAGGAATACAAGTCAATTTTTCTTTCATTGTCTTTTTACTGCAAATTTCCAACAAACACTTTATCAAGCCGTCCGGCTTATCAGCGGAGAACACGGGCATCAGATCCAAGAAAGGGAATCGGGGAGGCACCGTATGGCCTGTACCTCCGGCGAGACCGATGGCCACACCCTTCGGAATCGGAAAAGGTCGCTGCAAAACGGAATCAAAGAATCAGGACGGGATCCCCCCTAGAGGCAAATGTGAATCCGCCTGTCAGGAAGTGAAATCCACCCAACAGAAACGAGATCTGCCTGTATAGGCTGCATTCGCCTTTACCAGACAAAAGTCGAACTCGCCTGTCAAGAAACGAGTTCGCCTTCACCCGATAAAGGTCAATTTCGCCTGTAAAGGCTAAAATCATCCTCTACGAATTCGCCTGAAAAGGGGCGATTCTACCAAGATCACAAAAACTGCCAAAAGATGACAGAATCCACCGGGGAAAATGAGCATTGCTCATCCTCCTGGCCCGATATAGGTAACCAACACGAGTTCATCAGGCAAACCTTTTTTTGACTTACCCAAGCGCGTCTCAGGCACGTTGGCGGTCGCGCCGGCAGCGAGGCGATCGGAGTAGCATCCAGGACCTCCTCCTTTGCAACGCATCTCTTGGACTTCGGTGCCATGTCTAGGGATCAAGAACGAAGCGGGAGTTCTTTCTCTTTGGGAAATTTTCACGCACAGTGGCTTTTAAAAAAAAAAGAGGGGGGGACGAACCCTATTTAAGGGCAGAAGGGCTTGCGTGGCCACGATTGTGCTTGAAAGGCGAAACACTCGCGGTTAAGAGACATGGCCACGATCGGAATCAACGGCCCAGATTGTCCTCTGTAATTCATTTTGCAGTCACGAAAGAGCCATCGAAAAAGGAAACATGCCGTTCAAAGCCCGAGACCTGAACCGAAATCCGCGACTTAATCTAAAGGATGGATTCGAAAACCACGGCCACGATTCGTCGTGGAGCGAGATATACGAAACTAACGTCACACTGTCAAATCACGATCACCACGATCTGACGAGACCACGCCGTCTTAGCTGGAGAGCACGAGGCCCTATCGGCGGACACGTGGTTCATCTCCTATCAGGTCCAGTTCCACCCAAAAGCAGAGTCTCGCCTGCAAAAACTTGGCTTAACCCCGCGAGTCATACGAAATTTGGCCTCCAAAAACGAATTCCACCTGGACAACTCATTCGCCTTTAAAGGCAAGTTACGAATAACGCCAATGGAATAACCTTGTTTAAACCCACGTCTCAGATGGCTAAGGGTTAGAGCAGAAGTCTTCGCATTAAGCCTAAGAGAAACTACTCAACAACTCATCATACTGAGGGGAATAGTATGGCTAACCCGATTCAAACGGTAATCGGTAAAGGCGTATCAAACCCGTTGATAGCTGAGGGTTTGCAAAAAATCCGAAAGGAAACCAGATGCACTTGTTTCGCCAGGAACTTCTTTATTCAAAGTATTCCAGACCACACGCAAGCCGGTTTAGGTCTCAAAACTTTGAAGGGGGTCTTGTAGACGGTAAAAAATACCTCTGTAAACTTTCAAGAAATTCACCTGCAAGGGGAAGTCGTCCACACAATTCGCCAGCATGGGCCTAAGCCGCGCGGTCGTCAAACGCACTTGTGTCTATTTAGTCCCAGGTTCGCCTGAATGATCGGCTCGCCCGCACGAGTCAAGATCGACTAAATAATGGAAATTCGCCTTTTTTTTACATAACTCGCCTGACCGAGTCTAAAGTCAAATCCGCCTGCAAACCTCAAGGTTGCCAGTATAGCTGGATACCCGCTACCCCACGTACCGGGGCGGGCTTTCCCACCTTTGACCTGAAGAAGGGAGAAGGCACAGTACTCCAGGCCCGTCAGTACGAGTGATCGGACAGGTGCCAGATCAACCTGAACATTCATAAATGCAGCTCACCTCGCCCGTCCGAGTCAAGAGCTGGATCCGCCGGCATTCGGCAAGCTGTCCAAACCCACTCGAGTACTGGGCACCCGCTTTCCCACCTCTCTTGACCTGAAGGAAGAAGGCACAGTACTCCAGGCCTGTCGAGTGGCCGCTCACAGTACGAGTGATCGGACAGACGCCAAATCAACCTGCGCGCTCATAAATGCAACTCAGCTCATCGGTCCAAGTTAAGAGCTGGATCCGCCGGTGCACAGTAAGCTGGCCAAATCCACTCGAGTAGTGGGCAGCCACTGTCTCACATACGAGGATGGGCCTTCCCACTCCTACGTGACATGACGTGAAGCACAACCTATTGAATGACCGTTCGTAGTACAGAGGGGTGGCAAGACGTCTCTTAACAGTACATGGTCATATCCTATGATTCAAGGAGTAACCACGTGGTCTCTCTACCATTTAAGAACTTCTTCCAGCCACAAAGAAGGGGTTCAGAACTTCTTCCAGCCACAAAGAAGAGGTTCAGCTTTTCTTCTAACGACAAAGAAGAAGTTCAGCTGTTCAGCGATTCACTCATAGTTGAATCAGCTAATTGAACCACTAGCTCTTGACTCCCACTCGGGTCGACGACAAGCTCTTTGCATAACCTTTGCACTGTAGCATCTCCTCTCAGTTTTGGGCCCTGATCACCGCCGAACTCGGAGACCCGAACTCCATCAACCTGAGCTTCTACTGCGTACTGAAGCTCTCCAGCAACCTCGGTCGAACCGTCCAAGGGAAGCAGACTCGGCATGAGAATCGAGCGAAGCATCCTGTAGCTACCGAAAGTCCCCACATTAAACAAGGAGGGCATTCCCTCCGCTTCTGTTGTAATTTCGATTTATTAGTTTGTAATAAGCTATTCTTATTAATACAAATGAAGTTCCCTGTTTTCGGGAGATCAAAATTTACACCTACAACAATCCGGTTTGGAAGCCGGAACTTCTACACACTCGGTTTTCTAGCTAACCGAAAACTCTACAACTCACACTCTTGCAAACCCACTCTACACCCTCACAAGTGTTAGACCTAGCCGTGTCTCCCTCAAGTGCTTGGTTAAAACCTCTCCCTAGGTTCGTCAACCGACGCCACTCCTCTTGGGACGATACACACACTCCTCTCGGTGTACAAGTGTATTCGAAGTGTATCTCACAATAAGCACAAATACAACAAATGACTGTTCTCTAATATGGATGAGAACACAATGAAAGCTCACACTCAATTGTTACAACTCTCACAAACCCAAATATACTATGTATGAAAATATAATAAGCTCATGTGGGTGTGTGTAAACAATGAGTGAAATAAAATCTTAT